TTTAAAAGATTATTGTACAATTCACACTTAGAGTCACAAAACAGTCTGTTGGAGCTAGTCAATATTCACCACATTTTTCTGCCTATATTTTCTACACTTGGTATATTTTTTTCTTCCTACCTCCACAACCACCCTTCTTGCTTTAAAAGATGGATCTTAAGAACACAAGATGTTTTTGAGAAGAGATTTTAACAACAACTAAGTAATTATGGTTTATGAAATTGGATATTTCCATTATACTAACACCTCCCACTCATTATCTAAGGTGTCTTGCACAGCAAAATAGATAATGCTAGTCTTTTTTAATTCTTCTGGAATTAATTTGCCTTCAAATTCCCAGATTTCTTTAACTCTGTCATCGTTATCTTGACCTTCTTCCCTTTCTGGAAGATCTTTAGGTTGTGGAGATCAACACTGACACAACTATTCGGGGCTTTTAGTGAATATCCTTCTTAAATTACAGGGTAAGATTTTGCACACTGATGTGAGGGCTGTTGTGTGTGGATATCTTTGCTCAGTTGCCCATAATGATGCCATTTTTAATTCTGAGGGGATGAATTAGCTCAGAGCCTTCCTGTCAGTGTAGATAACATAGTTTAAATGGTTCAATTTGTTAATGAAAACATTGTATTAAAATCAATTGCAGCACTGACCCCTGAAGCAACACAGGATTTCTCCTTTTGCCTGCTGGGAAATGGTCATTTATGTTTTGCTTCTGCCTTGTAACCAATTCTTAATCCAACAAAGGCCTTACCACTCACTCCATGGTTACCCATTTTCCAAAGAGCTGTGTGTGCAGGACTTCATGTAAAGCCTTTGAAAATCTAAATCAATTACATTATATTCTCTGTTAGTCCTGCATTCTATTTTGAAGCTCTGAAAGTGGAGAGAAAAATAAATAGTATCTAAGATTTAGGACACCATGGTGATTTATTCATCTTCTATGTGTCGCATTGAATTGTTTTATATTGCATTTTATATGGTTTCTTACTGTATTCTTCTGAATATTGAACACAGTCTCTCTGATTAAAAATTCTTTGGCTCAAACCAAGCACTGGTGGCACACTGGAATACTGGTTGATTATTCTGTTCCTTTTGTAAAATGCCTTTTTTATTAATAATGCACTAAATGCTTTTTGTTGGTGAGCATCTTGACCTTTGGATTTCAGTTTAGCAAATCTCCAAAAGAAAATGCTACCATGCTTTGCAGAATAAACTGTAATTCCATCAAGCCCCCTGGATAAACTATCTCATGTTCTCAAGATGATGGTACCCAGAAGTTGCACTATAAATACTTGATACTCCCATAAAACATGAATTTAACCTAATTTATTTTTTAAATAGACTCAATTTTTAACTCTCCCTCAGATTCAGAATGCTATTTTATTTTTTTTTTTATAATAGCTATGCTTATATTCATCTTCTTGCTTCTACATTTTGTTTCCCTTCATAACACTGTTGAAAAATCCATCTTTATCACATTTTAGTATTAGCTTTCATAATATCTTTGAGCTGCCTTTTCCTAGTGAAAAATATCTTTAGAGCTTGTCCTATTCACACTGCTAAAACTCTCACAGGTTTATTGCTGAACTGCCAGTAGTGCTGGTTTTGAAATTTAGTCCATTCTGATAAAGACAAAAAAAAATAAAAATAAAAATGAGTCAGAACAGAAGTCAGAGAGTGACCTACTTTAAAATACAGCTAGTTACAAAGTTACTGGGATATTTTAAAACATGCAAAAATCTGAAACACTAAGTTCTGGTCTGAATCAGACAATTTCAAATTTCCAGTGTCCTTTGCAGGAGGAAGAACAAGGATACTGGCTTTTCCAGGATGGTTTCCAGATATCCCAATGCAAACTGAAGGAGAAATGAAAAAACTTTAAAGTTTATACAGCCCTTCCCAGCCAGTTCTGGTCCCATTTGTTCTGCCTTTTCTCCTTCATTTCCCATTTACTCCCCTTCATTACAACTCTGAAAAGTCTACTCTAGCTTCTAATTTAAATTCAGCCCTCTGACCTTAAAGGAGGTCACAGCTTTTTCTCCTCTCTGCATTTTGAAACATAAAATTCAATCTTGTTGCCTGTTGCTTGATTTCTTTCTACGGGCAGTTCTTTTTACCTGCCCATGGTCCTTCAGCTGTTACAGCTTCTCAAGCAATTAGACTTCAAGACTTCAATCTCCTTGATTCTCCTTCAATCTTCTATGATTCCTCCTTATTAAAGTCAAGAGGCTATTCTCAAAGGATCAAGCTAGCTTTGGTTACTGCTAGGACAGGGTGCTTAGCAGCATGAAAGATCTCAATATTCAGTTTTCTCTTATTCCCTTCTCTTCCTTTTCATATTTTCTCTGCCTTTTCTTCCTCCTCTCTCTTCCATACAGCCCTTCCCAGCCAGTTCTGGTCCCATTTGTTCTGCCTTTTCTCCTTCATTTCCCATTTACTCCCCTTCATTACAACTCTGAAAAGTCTACTCTAGCTTCTAATTTAAATTCAGCCCTCTGACCTTAAAGGAGGTCACAGCTTTTTCTCCTCTCTGCATTTTGAAACATAAAATTCAATCTTGTTGCCTGTTGCTTGATTTCTTTCTACGGGCAGTTCTTTTTACCTGCCCATGGTCCTTCAGCTGTTACAGCTTCTCAAGCAATTAGACTTCAAGACTTCAATCTCCTTGATTCTCCTTCAATCTTCTATGATTCCTCCTTATTAAAGTCAAGAGGCTATTCTCAAAGGATCAAGCTAGCTTTGGTTACTGCTAGGACAGGGTGCTTAGCAGCATGAAAGATCTCAATATTCAGTTTTCTCTTATTCCCTTCTCTTCCTTTTCATATTTTCTCTGCCTTTTCTTCCTCCTCTCTCTTCCTTTCTGCAGTTCTCTCCTTCCTTTTTTTTTTTTTTTTTTCACGGACCACATCTACCAGGATAATCTCATACTTCTCTACAAATACCAAGATTGAACAGGAGCCTTCAGCATGGTCCTGCCCACGGATCCTGGGCTGTGTCTGACCCTGGGTCCCCTCAGTGGGTCTGATCCTGACTCCCACCTGTGGGACATCCCACATGGCCTCAGGCCATCCCTATCCCCTGATGCCCAGGGCTGGGGCTGCCCCCAGGGAGCCACTGACTTTTGCTCTTTAGGAAACCAAGCTACAAGTATTAGTAAAACCTCAAAATGCCCAAAAAAGCAAATAAAATTAATTAAACCCTGAGGCTCTGGTTTACTCTTGCACATAATTAACACCCACTCAAATCTAGGATTTTTTTCTGTTTGTTCCCAGCAAGCCCTGTAGAATCTGTAGTTTTGTATTTTTCATCTTGATTTTATTAGAAAGCCAGCGAGAGTTAAGTTTTTATTTTGGTTTTAAAGGAAAATAAGGGTTCCCAATTTTAAAAAGACATTAGCCAATCTGTCACTACCTAATACTGCTGTCAGAGATAAGAGTCTAGCCTCTCCCTAGTACTTGGCTGTAAATGCCAAGCCAAACACAGCCAAAAAGTACTAAAACACTATAAAAAAGTCACCCCATATATTCCAAAGGTTGTAAGTTAAAACAACAAACACAACTTTAAGGTGAAACCAGTTATTAAAGTGAGGTTTGCATAGTTTCAATTTCTTAAAACCTACCAATATTGCTTTCATTAAAGATTAATTTTTTCCCTCCTAAAAAAATACTAGCCAAATGTTTCTCTTTCCAGAACACTGTACGTGTATTTCTGCGCTGTGGATCAAAGCCAGAGTTCACATAATATGAAATCCCTGGAAAAAGAGGCTTAACAGAGGCTTTCCTTTACTGAGGTGACAGTTCAAAGTAAATAATAAGAGCAAGGTAATGTGCTTCTTTCCCTTCCAATGTCATTTAACTATTTTTTTCCTATCTTTCAAAAGCACTTAATTTAAAAATAAAGGTTAATTAAAAAAATAAATGAAAAAGATTAAAGCAATAATGTGTTCCTCATTGTGTTTCTCACTGAGATTTTGATTTTTGCATCTGTAGGTGGAGTCTGACTCCAAATAAATCACTCCTCATTTCTGAGTGTTTGATAAAATCTGTGCAGGATCTCAAGGTGATGAACAAGAAAGAATATACAAATATAGATATGTATTCATAGATACCCATACCTCTATATCCTGAGCTAGACAGATGGAGTTGTGTTTACAGAGACTTGTTCTGGAGAGAGGAAAGGGTACTAACAGGTTGGGCACAGAATGGCACAGAAATGGTTTAACTACCATTTTAACCACTTCATTCTAGAGTTACAAAATCAGTTAGTGAATTCTACCTTTTTTTTTTTTTTTTTTTTTTTTCTGAATCAGCAATCATAGAGAAATAATAGTTAGTGCTTCTGTAAATGGCCTGAAAAGCTGCAGATAGAAATTGGGCTGTAATACTAATGATCCACATTCATGTCTGGCATAAATTGTTTTAGCTCCATTGGCTCCATTGAATTTGGGCTCACTCTGTCTTCTGAACTTCTGTTGCACAGAACTTAAACCTTCACAATATTATATAAGCTATATATTTTACATAGTCTAGCAGACCTTGATATTTTTTTCAATCAGGTAATATATTTTCAGTTGCTCAAATATATTTTCAATGAAAATTAGTTTTGTTTAGGAACAGAACTTCAGTCACCAACAAGTACATTCCTCTGCACAGACCAGAGAGTAACGTTTGTCATAATTTTCTAGAGACACATAATACGTAATCAACAACCTCAGAAAGAACTTGAAGAAAAGGCTGTGTATAATTTACTCAAATAACTGGAACTTTGACAAAGTAGACTGGCCTTGATGAGTTACTGAATCTTTTATATGGCTCCTGTCAATATGACTTCTATAATAGCATTGAGAAGAGAATTAAAAAAAAAACCAGTCGTGGTCATTAATTTGTTTGTTTATATCTTGTTTTCCAGCACAGGTTCCCCTCTGAGTTTCAGATTTCAGAGAACTGACTGAAAGTTTCAAGTGACTTCATATTGAACAGCATTATAAATAAACTTACCTGTTTCAGAGAGCAGTTTGGTAGCTTCCAGTACTTTCTCAGTGTAGACTCCCGTTTCATAGTTTTCCATCTCTGCATTAATGATGTGAATAACTCTGGCTGCACGGCCACGGATGGCACCTGCAGTTCTGTCCAGTGTATCGACATCCCCCTCTTGGAGAGCAATCACACACTTATTCACATCTTCCAGAATATGGTTTTCTGGAACATAGGGGAAAAAAAAAAAATAAGGCTCACTTCACTAGATTCTTTCTCATAGAAAAGCTTACAGATTTGGGTAAATGGAAAATGTCACTACGGTAAAAAATTTATGTGTGTCCTTATCCAGGTCTGCAAAACAAATTCTGTTCTGTGATATTATGCCACACAGCAGCAAAAATCCCAAGTGGGATATTTATCTTTAAAAGGGACTTGGCTATGACCTCTCACCTATACTGTGAGTACCAACCTGAAATTCTTTGACAAACAGTCACATTAATTTCCCACATCTCACTGAATTTTCTTATAATGAAAGTTTGATAAAAATCAATGCAAAGAGGAAAGAGGTCACATCTAATGCAGATGATCTAACCAACAGCTGAGCAGTCTTCTGAGGATGAATTTACACATTCCCTAAAACATTTAATATGTTTGGTTCATTTGTGCCTAAAGAAGTTAGAAAGGAAGATAAACTTGGAAAAGACAACAGCAAATTGCCTTTGTGGATAGTAGAGAGCCTGTGCACAAGCAGTTCACCTCTCCTACTCCTTCTATGCCAGAGATTAAAGTGTGAATTTTTCATGACACACAGTATAATAATACATGAATAAGCATATTGTTTTTCCTCAACTCAGAATCAGGACACCTCCTCTCACGTGCTGCAGCACCATAGTTAGTGTAGCATTCTCACATATAGATCATCTGAAAGGCTGAAGCAGATGTTGACTAGGTCAGATATTTTGTACCAGTAGAGTTAAAAATCATTTCAATAATGACACTACAACTGAATTTCATAGTTGAGCCAACTCACTCTGAGAAACTCAGTGACTCTAAACAGCATTATTTTTCTGCCACAGATACATCTAAACTGAAAAGGAAATGCAGTTCTTTGCAGCAGTAATAAATAAAACAGAATCAATCAGTTCACCAACTGCTTTTTGATAATTATCCTTGGCCACTAAAACAGAATGATGCACTAATCTGCACTGTGAAAAATCCTAAGGTTGGATCATTTGAGGGTTTCAGAAATGTTTTACATGATGTCAAATTTTAAATTGTAGCAACTCTGAATGAAAAATGAAAGTCCCCTAAGCTTTCAGAGGCAACATTTTTTGTTGAAAAAACTCTCTATCCACATTTTAAAAAATGTTGCTTTGGTAAAACATTTCTTCACTATTTCCTCCTCACCATCATTTTTTTTTTTTTTACTATGGCACAGCCAAATTTTGCCCAACAAGATGTGCTACATGGATTTGAACAGACAGTCCATTTGGAATATGAAGTAACTGACTAAATTATGGCAAGACCTATTTTGGTAGCCACCATATTAATGTAACATGCCATCAAGTGTGACACACAACATGAAGAGGAGGAGGTGTCATTTCATGAAGTACATTTAACCAGACACTGGCCCATTTTGAATGCTCCATTGATTTAACATTCAAAAATAAAACTACCCTGTACAAGCTGAAGCTTCCAAGCTTACAGCTAGCAGCAACAGGCTGTCTGGATACATGTTTTCTCAGTTTTAATAAAGATGTCTATGGACAGTATTAGAAAAACATCTAAAACCCAACAAAAATAGTGCCTCATAGCTGCCTTGGAAAGTTTGGATCTAAGTCAAGAGTAAGAAGAAAATGTGACCCGAGGAAAAAAAAAAAAAAAGTAATCTGTTCAAATACCTTCTGGTTTTATGGATGTAAGTGCTTGGTGTGAACAAAGTCTTCAAACAAATAACCAGGCATTTAAGCAAGTTTGCCATCTCTTTGGCTTGTGAACTGGGCCTGCACTTTACAGCTTGGCCTGCCCTTTGATTGTAGAACGAGGTTTGTTGAGAAGTGTTTGCCAGCTTCAAGACTCAAATAAAAACCTATGTGCTACCAGATTCTGAAGTACCCTTTGATTCTGAGAGTTCATTTTCTTGTCATGGCTTCTGGTAAACACTCCAGCAGTGCTGCTGTACAGTGGAGTATAAATACACTAAAACAGACCTTTCCTGTGTTACTAATAATAGCAGGTTACAAGCAAACAAAATAAATAGGAGGGGGTAAAAAAAGGCATTTTTTAAAAGGATTTCCCCCCCCTCCCAAATATCTTAAACATTTGTTAGAAAATTTAGGAAACATCAAGAAAAAGAATGTAGAATGAAATATAAAAGTAAAGGCCAAGCCATCTCCTGAAGTCTGGCTCTTCTGAGACATTAGAACAAGCTTAGCCCACTTGGCACACACTGTGTCCTTCTTCACAATGACATTCACCTCTTTCAAACCAGCACTGGAAAATGAGTTTTCTGCAGCAGACAATTAACCCAAGACATGCAGCACTTTGCAATTATGGTACTCATTCTGCAGGACTATATTATAACAATAAACTCTGCCACAAGTGGTAGCACTTTATAAGGAGCATGGAGGAAAAACTGTAACTCAATGAGTCAATGTCCTTCTCTTCTCCATCCCTTCTTTATGGACAGACTAAGACACTTTGTCTGCTTTCCCAGAAGAGCTTGCTTTGCATTGCAATCCTTTCTAGTGAGGTCCAAGAGGTGCAAAGATTTGCAGTTCCTCATACTACTTTATTACTTCTCTCCATTTAGCTGCATTGCTCCACTGATACCTCTGGAACCCAGAAGTGCTTCTGAGCTCTCCAGAAGTGTACGCACTGGTTATGTTCTGACAAAAAACCTAGATGGAACTCACAGGCACCATTTTTTCAGGGCCTGGAAACCTGACATGGACAACCAGGGGCCAGAACTGTACAGTACATCTGCCCCTCTGTTCAGACACAGCTGATCTTAGCAAAAGCTACAAAATAAAGTAAGGAAAGTTCATGTTTCCTCCTCTTGCCCACAGCTCCATGAGGACTAGCAATTTTTGCAAATGCTGTCAGCCTGTCACAGTTCTGTACTAAATTTCTCAAAGGTGACCAAAATCCCACTTTGTGCTTGAGTTGAAACAAAAACTTCTCTAGAAATAGAACACAAATAAGATGCTATTTTCTAGGGGAGGAAAAGCTCACCCATGCTACCAGGGATTAATTGGCATGGCTTAGTTGCTCCTACTGAGTGTAAAAGATCAGCATTCTAATAAGGACAGACTAATGTACTAATGATGCTTTAGTAATTATAGCTTTTCTCTGCCCTGACCTATTACTTTAAGGTAGCAAGATATTTTTAGAAGAGTCCCTTGAACCCAGTACCTGAAACAGAGAGGAAATCATCCACTGAAGTGATGTCATCAACAGCTTCAGTGAGGACTCGCACTTGCTTCTCCCACTGATCTTTAAAGACATCCATGTTGTCCTGTGCTACTTTGCTCTGGGGTCTGGCAGCCAACGTGAGTGCAGCATTGATCACCTGTTATTCCAAATCATTTGTTAGGAGGAGTGGCAACATTTTTGCACAAGAACAAATAGATGACAGCCTGTGTTACAAATACAGGATTACACCCCGTTCGATACCTGGGTCTCAGGATACAAATACATTTTTCACAGCTAGTGGAAAGCAAGTAACAACACAATGAGAAAGGCAAGGCTCCAACCTTCATCTAGGCTGTTTCCTCTGCCTCATCTAATTGGTGCTTTTTAATGCCAAAAGGGTTCTCAGGTACTTTTTAACAGGCATTTTACTCACCTGTGGGCACAGACTATCAATCTGTGTTGCTGCCATACGGACTAACTTCACACCTTCTTCATTATTTGAGATGGAACAGGCCAGGTTTGCAACCTGCAAGGAAATCAGCAGAATGACAAGTTTTAGGCAAACAGGCCATTTTCTACCTTTCTCTCTTCTTCATGAGCCTTGCCTAGAATGAAAGGATTGTATCCAAGAGGAGTGATACGGCATTTTCTGTGCTGGTGACCAGAAACCCATGTAGATTATTTCCTTACAAGCAAACTGAACTAATAATCATCATTAGATATTTCCCAAAAACTTCCCTCATTGTCAAGTGTTTTGCTTTCTCCTCTATAGCTTGAAAATGATCTCCTGAGACACCATATAGAGAATGTAGAGCATCCAAACAATTATCTATACATTTCCTTTCCTCACAATTTCTTTTTCCTTTTATTGACCATGCCCATTATGAATAATAGCAATCAGGCTCATTCATATCCTCCAAGCTTTGAACAATAATGAATCTTTGATATCCTAAGATATGAAATTGTGCTAAACAAAATTCTGATACCTTCCCTGATAGTAAGAAGTTACATATTTCTCAAGCTTCTTCATTGTTTCAGATCCTGATGGTTTTACATGTGTTTTGTTTTGTTTTTTTTTTAATTTTTAAGGTGGAACTACTTATTTCTATAAATAGAGTAAAATTCCCATTAGCAAAAGTATCATAACTAGGTAAAGTGCAATGCCTCTTTTAAAGCCTCATTCTGTACTTGTATGTCTGAAGATCTTGTTCAAAGACAGTGGTAAATACCTGTGCTTGCTCTGGCACAGCTTTGGGAGGCCTGAATGTCACAAGACTGAAGGCTGTCTTGATCAGATGAAGACAGGGGAGACTTAGAGAGGCATCCAAATAAGATCTAGCAGACACTACAGAGCTCCAACTCTGTGGCTTGGGTGCAAGTGGCAGAGCACGTTCCCCCAGCGCGTCCAGTGCTTCTTGCAAAAAATCCACTCCCAAGAGTTTTGTGCCAAGGCCATGAATCTGCCATGGGTTTTTCAAACACCAGTTAATGTCACAGTGCACATAATTAAGCTCATCAGGGATATCTAAATCACAAAGGTACATTCTGGGAGGAGGGACTACAATTTTATTTTGTTTCAAACCATCCCAAAGTATGTCTCTCCATTCTAATCTACATTAAACAAACTTATAAAATTTTAAATATGCTTCCTTGATATTACTCACTGTGCCTGAAGGCATAACTATCAGTTGGAAATGATTCATGAATTAGTTCAAATACCCCCATCTTTCCAATTTTCCTCCAGTCTCCCCTTGTGGTATTAATCTGTTCTTGTTTCCAGTGCACATCACCACATTAGCCCTGGTCCATCTGTTCTGCATGGAACCTATTTCACTTCACAGTTATCTACAACGTGGTTTGCATATATCAGGGTGCCAAAGCCCAGGGAAGAAAAGAACCTAAGGCTTCAAAGAGTCTTGCAGGCATTTCCTAGTCAAGATTTTATCATAATGTTGAGATTTTTACTTCCCTTTTGTGGTGAGACAAATGAGTTAGTCTGTTTGTTAACAGCCTTACGGTGCTCGTGTCAAAAATGTTCTCCTGAGCTGACATCCTCCAATTAATACACTCTTTTCTGCAGTCACTTCTTTGCACACATCAAACAGACCACTTTAATCTTCATCAGAAACAAAAGCTAAGCAGGATCATAATTAGAATACATTAACATGAGTGGAAATTACAGACCTTAAAAACTAGCAAATGGCATTAAGTTTAGGAAAAGCCATCTTCCTCTATTTTAAATAAGTGGTTTTCCAAATTGCCCTTTCATTTTGTGATTATCATGATGAAAATCTGTCCTAAGCCTCCAGATGAGCCACATATCTTACTTTTCCTCAGACATCAGTGGGATGTGTGACTGAAAGGGGCTGAGTGCCATGAAATGGCAATCAAGCTATTAAGCAGAGAAAACTTTTTCTCCTTTTTTTTTGGTAAAAATAATTCAGAGTTCAGTCCCTTGTTTTGGATGTTACTATCCATACAGAACGAGTAAAAATGTAAACCAATGCTACATTCCATTTGTATCAAAGGAGCATGACAGTTATCTGTTAACAAAAAAATAATAAAAATGATACCTATCATGTATAATCCTAATCTAAATAGCTTTGGTGGTGTATTTCAAGTCTTGCATAAATATAGACCTGTCTCACCAGGAGCCAGAAAGCAATGCTGCTCTCACAATTCAGCAGGGAGCATGCCAGCCTGTACCATGGGAAGAGCTGATTATGTCAAATAAGCAGAGAGATAAGCAAATCTGACAAAGCTGGATGCAACCCGGATAAAATAGAGTTTAGCACCACAAATCAGAAATACTGTGACTTTACCCAAAACTTGTTTTTAACACATGGCAAGAAATAGACATTACTTGCTAAAATCTTCATTTCAGTGCCATCACGTGAGCATGGATCTGTGAAACCACACAAGTTTTAAGAGCCCAATCGCCAGATAAGACATTCTTTAATTATTTTTATTGACTTTGTTGTCAAACACACAATCAAGTTGTCATCAATTAAGACTCCTAGCACAGCAATGTCCACATGTGTGCTCTTAGTGGCTAGTAAACCATGAGGTAATTCAACATGCTTCAGCCTACTGTAAACTCAGCAACTTCAGATATTTTTTCTGCCTCAAACCATGATCAAAAAAGCTTTGAACCAATCCCACCCCACTTAGCTGAAGCACTTTGGTTAGGTGCCAAGCTGACCTCTGAGGATAATGAACAAAAGGAGAAAGGCACTTTCAGAGACTGTTTCAGGTCTCTAGTTGACTACCTCGTCCTCTAGATGTGTCTAGTTTATTATTTAAACTTTGATTAAAGCCAGCCCTGACAATTGGTGAGGGAACTATTACAAAAACAAAAGAGGGTTTAATGGTGCATTGTAACTTGTTTTTCATGTGTATAGTTAATACAACATATTTTGTGAAGAATCCAGACTTTTCAAAGTTGGGAATTAGTTTAATACAGCTCTCCTGAGCTGGATAGCTTGGGAAGGAAAAGAAAAAGTCTGTATGTTACTGTATCTGCCAACTGGCCAAAATCTTGATTTGACAGCTTTACTTTTATGTTTACAGTACTCTGTGTCCACCAAAGCACTGAAGAGGAAATTTCATGAGAGACTGGGGAAGTTACCAGGTAATGAATTTTTAAAAATTATTATTTTTTTTCCCCTGTGTAAGTTCCTTGAGCAATGGGAATTCACTGATGCCCTGAAGAAAACTTAAGTTTGTATTAAGATCAATGCAAACTGTCTGAAGAGTATTTATATAGATGGATACATTTTAAATACTGAAATCAATGAACTGTGAATCATCCTCAAAATGCATGGAGAACTTAATAACAGTGGAACTGCTGTGTAGATAAACATTATTGTCCAGAATTTCAGGTCTTCTAAACTACTCTTACTCCATCAAAACAACTGCTAAACACAAACCTGTCCTTCAACAGCACAGAAAAGTAATGAGCAAGAAAATCAACACTCCAGCTCCAGTGATGCTGTATTTTCCTGCAATCACCAAAGCCACTGAAGCAATCCTAGCATTGGGAAGGTGAAAAAGTGCACACCAGCTCCTTCATATCAATTTCCTGTCACTGACACTGATAGCCCAAGGTGCAATTCTGCACCTGGCTAGGGATCTATCTTTAATCATGCAAATAGTTCCATTAGTTCCAATTATTCAAAAGATATGCAGGATCAGGCCCAATAAAATGCATTTGCATGCATTTGGTTGTATTTCAGCCTCAAGCAGTTTTCTGCTGTGCAGCAGATGGGGGTAGGGAAGGAGTTTGTTTCTAATGCAAATTTTTGTTGCTATTGCTGAAAGAACATACCAAGGACAGGATTTGTTCTAAAGATATATGGCAGCTGGAAGTGTAAGCACTGGATGGAGAGGCAACACCTACACTGGCTTTTTCCTAGCAAGCATGAACTAGCACTAAGATTGCACTCCAATTTACAAAAGCATACAAGGATCTTTCATACCAATTAACTGTATTTGTAAACAACTTGAAATCAGGTGTGGATTTCTTTCATTGTGTTATGAAGCTAGACTGTTTCCAATTTTGACATGAGTGCTTTGTATCATTAAAGATAATTATAACTCTAAAAAGGCACTCTGGTTCAAACTCAAAGATTTAACATGGCCACTTTGAATAGCATGTATGTGAAAAGGTCCAAAAAAAGAAAGCCATTGCTTACAGCAAAAATATAAAAAAGGGACCAGTGCCTGCTATAACAAAGGAGAAATATCAACAAAGGCTGCAGAAAATTGCAGCTAATATATGTATACTATTTTTTTTTCTTTTATTCCTTTTTTTCCCACCATAGATTGTTCAGAATAAATGATACCAAAAAGTCCTATTCAACTTCCTGAACCATTTAGCTACTCTAAAGTAGAGAATGCAATATATTAATATTTTACCATATTCGTTAAATACCCTTATATTATTTATTTTTACTTTTTTTTATACATGCACTTCCTATTTATGCCATTTCTTTTTTCACTGTAACCAACTGATGGAAGTATCAGGAAGAAGAAAATGTACAATTTATTTTGTTGTTTTTTTTGGGAAAATACAGGATAACCTTAATCAAGGCACCAAACTTGATGCCTACACCACACATTTGAGAAATGAAACTTTCTGAGTTATTCACCTTGAGTTGAAGGTGGTTCAAGTAAGAGTCTCCTGTAACATTCACAGTGGACTAAAGCCAAGCAAATAATCAGCTACAGTGTTTCAGCTGATGAGTGGTAACTTGCTGAACTGTGATATCTTGACTCTTTGTAATTGTTTATCCATCCACAGAGCAATATATCCAGATATTAGTACAGTCTGTGAATTCTTCAAAATCTTGACAATATTAATGTTGGTACTGCTGTAGGCAGCCCAGTGATATTCACGGAGTCACAACTAAGGGATTTTGTTCCAAAGGAGAGCACAGAGTTGAAGCTGCTACCCAAGATCTACAACTTATTATCCTCACTTTATTCACTCAAGCATTATATTATGAGCATAACTCTATTTATCACTAGACAGGATGTTTTTGCACATACACAAACAAGTGCCAAAAATCAAAATGTCACTGAGAGTACATATTGCAGCAGATTTCTCTTCCTCTTCATGCAGTGCTGTGCCAGTTTTTACTACCATGAAAATATTAGACTGTGGTGGCTTTCTCAGTTCCTATTCCATATGGCATGAGGGAAACCTCATATTGCAAACTGTTCCTCATTTGTATTAACCAGTCACATAGTCTTATCTAAATAAGAGGTGTATTTTTAAGTTGTTCATATGTACTTATGCATAGCATAAAGCACTACAAAAGTAATTTCTTTTGCAAATCACTAATGATCTAATTTACTGAGTTTCATGTTTGTTCTGATTTTTTTTTTAGTATCAAACTCTGAACATAATATAAACTGCTCAGACATTTACAATACTCTATACATATCTAAGCAGACCAGTAATAGTAGGATGTTGGAAAGCTATAAGAATTTTAAGCACAACAGTTGAATGTTTTATTTAATATCTCATATGCTGCCCACTGAACCTATGAGACACCCTTTCACTTCTCAAAAGGTCAACAGCATATTCACTCATACTTACTACAGGAATAAGGCTTTTCCAGTCACTCAAACTCCCCTCAGGCTTCCTCCATATCAGATTTAGCTGAAAGTGCTTTAAGAGATTTCTGCTTTTGGTAAAGGTCGAAGTAACTCTGACTTGAGCACATTCAGTGGGGCTTGGACTGAGAGTTTTGAAAGAAATTTAAGAGTGTTAGAAGCCTCATGTATGCTGAAAGCTCAACTCAAAATGCAAAAATCCTAGCCTTGGACCATTTAAGTGAAGTGTTGCTAATGCAATCTGAGTCTCCCCCATTTTCCAGGGCCATCCCAGCACATCCCACGATTACTGCCTACATGATGGAACAGAAGCAAGATCAAAAATGAAGCACCTTGAAGAATCATTCTACTTTATTATTTTCATAACTGGAAAAATAAATAAATAAATATTAGTTCTTGTTTAATCATAGAGCTGCCAGTAAAG